CATTGTTAGCTGGAGCCAAATTGGCCAGCTTGCCTCTCAGGAGACTTCCTGCCAGCCTCTCCCAAGACCTGGAGAGATGGGCTCCTGCCGCCACCTGTGGGAACCCACTGCCCAGAGGAGGCTCACAGGCGGCTGCCGAGGGCGCAGACCTCTGAGGCACAGCTTCGTCCAGGCGGCAGGGACAGGAGACTGGCTGGCCTGAGGCCGCAGCGGTAGCTCCCCCACCAGCTCCCTGCAGCCCCTGCAGTCCCTCCTTCTGAAGAGAAGGCACCCCAGCCAGGCAGAGCTCCCTCCTGGGGAGGACATGGCCCACGGGGGGTTTTCCTGGGGCACGATCATGTGCTTCGGCATGTGCTGTCCCCAACCTGCTTTAAGTCTCACCAGCTGGGACAGTCCCCCTAGTCCACCAGCCCTATCCCATGGCCTCGTGGGCAAGTGCCCCACCGGTGCTACTCAGAAAGCCGTGAAGCGGGGGATCACTCCCCTCTCTGATTGAAGGGGAGCGTGCGAGCCAGCAGCCCCGTCACAGCCTTCTGCCTGTGGAGAGGAATGGTTCCCTCTGGCAGGGTGGTTGAGAGCTCGCAGTACAGACTTGTGAGTCAGGAACCTCAGTTTGAACTCCAACTCCACTGCCATGAGCTGTGTGACCTTAATCACCTCTCTGATCCTTTGTTTCTTCATCTGCAAAATGGGGATAATAACGCCTCTGAAAACGGCTCTTGTGAGGATTAAACAAGTTCACTGACTCAACAGCAGAGGGTGATTGAGCCCCTGTATGTGTCAGACATGCTGCTGAGCGCTTGGGCGGAGCATGGAGCAAACAGACGTGGCTCTGGCCTCATGGAGCTTGTAGTCTGGTGGGTGAGCAGACAAAGTGTCAAATAAAACAGAATAGGATGAAGAGAACTTGGCTTAATAAACAATAGTTCTTATTATCCTCCTCTGGGTGTGGCTTATGCTTAGTTAATATTAACTTATTCAAACATTGATATGTATCAGTGTTTATTATTTACTTACTAGCGGCCCGGTGCACAAAAATTTGTGCACTGGCGGGGGTGGTGTCCCTCAGCCCCACTTGTGCCCTCTCACAGTCTGGGACCCCTCAGGAGATAATGACCTGCTGGCTTAGGCCTGCTCCCGGGTGGCAGAGGGCAGGCCCAATCCCTAGGTGCAGCCCCTGGTCGGGCTCAGAGCAGGGCCGATTGGGGATTTGGGGCGCTGCCCCCTGTCACACTCAAGGCAGGGTCGATGGGGAGGTTGCAGCGCCACCCCCTGTCACGCACAGAGCAGGGCCGATAGGGGAGTTGGGGCACCGCCCCCTGTCACACACAGAGCAAGGCCAATCAGGGGGTTGGGGAGCTCCCCCCTATCAGGCACAGAGCAGGGCCGATCAGGGGGTTGGGGTGCCTTCCCCTGTCACGAACAGAGCAGGGCGGATAGGGAGGTTGTGGCCCCGCCCCCTGTCACACACAGAGCTGCAGGGCGATCAGGGGGTTTGGGCGCTGCCCCCTGTCACACTGCTCCAAGGGCCAGGAGGCCTCATGGCTCCGCTGATCCCAGTGCTGGGAGGCCTTGCGGCTCGGCTTGACACAGGGGCAGTGAGGCCTTGCTGCTCTGCTGATCCCGGTGTTGGGAGGCCTCGTGGCTCTGCTAATCCCAGTGCCAGATGGCCTCGCGGCTCCGTTGATCCCGGGGCATGAGGCCTTATAGTTCTGCTGATCCCAGGTTCAGGAGACCTCGCGGCTCCACTGATCCTGGTGCTGGGAGGCATATTACCCTTTTTCTATATAGGATAGAGGCCTGGTGCACAGGTGGGGGCTGGCTGGTTTGCCCTGAAGGGTGTCCCGGATCAAGGTGGGGGTCCCGCTTGGGTGCCTGGCCAGCCTGGATGAGGGGCTGATGGCTGTTTGCAGCTGGTCACACCCCCTTCAGGGTGGGGGTCCCCACTGGGGTGCCTGGCCAGTCTGGGTGAGGGGATGAGGGCCGTTTTCAGGCTGGCGGGTGACTGAAGCTCCCAAACTCTCCTTTTTTTCTTTTATTCTTGGATTTATTTACCTTCTATGGCTGTCACTGGAGCTGAGACCCGGCTTTAGCTCTGAGGTTCGGTTCCAGCTCTGAGACCTCTGCTGCTGAAAGCAGGTCTCTGGGTTTGTTTCACTTCTATAATTGAAACACTGTTTCAACTCCAGCTCTGAGGCCGGCTGGCTGAAAGCAGGTACCTGGGGTTTGTTTAGGTTCTATAATTGCAACATTGTTTCATCCAGAGCTCAGAGGCCGGCAGTGGCAGGTGGGGAACCTTGGCTTCCTCCTTCACTGGAGCAAGCAAGCCTCCTGTTCACTTCAGCTGCCTGGCTGCCGACCACCATCTTGGTTGGCAGTTAATTTGCATATCTCACTGATTAGTCAATGGGAAGGGTAGTGAAGTTACGGTTAATTACCATGTTTCTCTATTATTAGATAGGATGGGTTATTATGAGAGTTACATGAGATTTTATGCATAAATATATAATATCATATACGTGTGCATGTGTATAATCTCAATTAGCCCTCACAAAAACCTTGAGCAGTAGGTGTTTCCCCCATTTCTCAGGTAAAGAAACTAAGGCTTAGAGAGGTAGCGTGGCTTCCCAAGGTCACATGGCATGTAAAGGTGGGACGGGACACCAGCCCCAGTCAGTGCTCCCAGGGCCCATGTTCTTCCGTGTAGAGATGCTGCCTCGTCCTAGCTCAGGGCGTGGTGTATGTGAAAAGGCTCCCTGCAAATCACACAGCCCCTCAAGTACATGGGATTCCCATGGCTCTGATCCCTGCATCACATCTGGTCCCCTGAACACCAGGCAGATGAGCCCAGGATGGGAGCCAGGGAGACCGGCCCAGGGGCTTCCAGAGGAGAAACCAGCTCCCCTTCCGAGGGGGACACTGGAGACAGAGGCAGCAGCCTCCTGGTGGACGCCTCTTCGGGGCTTTGAGGGGCTGCTCAGCCCCAGAGGGGGTCATCCCAGAAGGACTAGTACAGTCCACAGGACAGCCTTTAGCCACTTTCTCCATCATGTCAAGGTCAGTGCCACCACAGAGAATTGCCTCAGCCCTGAATCTGCCACCTGGGAGGAGGCCTAGCTTTAGTGGCAAGCACACTGGCTTTGAATGCTTGTTTCCCAGCCGTGTGACCTCAGGCAAGCCATCTAACCTCTCTGGGCCTCGACGTCCTCCTCTGCAAAGGTAATGGGGACGTCCTGTCTGCAGCAGGTGGTAGGAGATCAAGAAGAGTGGCTTGGTGGGTGGATGCCAGCAGGTGGAAGTAGTGTCTGTCATTGTCTATCTGTTGTGCACGCCTGAAAGAAGCAGGAATGACATTGAATTTAGGCAATTAGGAGAATTTCCCATAAAAATTTAATTCTTCAGTAAAGCAGGGCAAAATGAAATAGGTGAAGCATTTTTAAACTGTGAATTAATGATGTATAGTTATAGCCATAATAATAATAATAATAGCTACCAATTACAGAATACAGAAGGTCAAATCTGGGCCAGGAGCTACCTGCGCCCACAGTGACCAGCCCCCAGCTCTGAGACAGGGCTCGGCTGTGCTTGGCAGCCAGGACACCAGGGTTCAGCAGGTCGGCGTCTGCCCACCATCCCACAGACACCGCACAGCAAGGCTACGCTTCTCACTCCCGTGTCCTCTCTTCCATGCCTGGGCCCTTTCACATACACGTAGAGCAAAGTGTAAAGAAAAACAAAGCAAGAACAAGAACCTTCTCTCGTTCTGTCTAGCAGTCCCCAGTACTGGTTTACACAGAATTTGGTCTCAATAGCACTTCATTATTTTCCACACTTTACGTGTTCATGCTTCACCCAAGGCCATAATGACCTCCCATAATAGAGGTGGGAGCCAGGGGAGCGCCCTTCCACAGAGCGAGCTCTACAAAAGCCTCATCCTAAGGTGCCACGCACAGGGACTAGCACGCACAGGTGCCCGGTAATTGCCAGCCTTGTGCGCCCAACTCACTTTCTCAGTTAACTTACAGCCCTTTTCCCTTTCTTTCAACTGTAGGTCAATTAGGAGCAATTCCATTTTGATTGCCTTCAACGATGTGTTTCTTAAAGAAAACAAAACTGCCCTGACTGGTTTGGCTCAGTGGATAGAGCGTCGGCCTGCAGACTGAAGGGTCCCAGGTTTGATTCTGGTCAAGGGCATGTACCTTGGTTGCGGGCACATCCCCAGTACGGGGTGTGCAGGAGGCAGCTGATCGATGTTTCTCTCTCATCGATGTTTCTAACTGTCTATCCTTCTCCCTTCCTCTCTGTAAAAAATCAAAAAGATATATTTTTTTAAAAAAGAAAACAAAACTTGGTTTTTCTTTTGTATATTTTAAGAGGACAGAATCATTTTACAAGTGATTGCCCCTGGTGGTCTCCCAGGGTTGCCTTTCTCTGTGGTACCCCATTCTTCTAGACCCTACTGCCCTCGTGTCCTGCATCCAGCCAACCCCCAAATCCTGTAGCTTTCCCTTTAAATGCCTCTCATTCCCAGGCCTATTCTTGGTTCCTGCACAGCCTTCCCCTCACTCTTGGACTGTGACAAGCCCCCCCTTTCACAACCTACTCCACATAATCAGTCACCCCTTTCGGGGGTCAGTTCCCCCTGGAGGCACTCTGGAGGCTCCTCTGCCTGCCCCCCTCCATTCCTGACCCTCATCCTGGGCAGACTTTCTTGCTGGCCCGGCCCAGCAGGAACTCCGGAGGTGGCCTGCGCTTTAGGTGCTGTGGGGACCTTCAGGCTCCCCGACATCTAACAGGATGAGCACAAAAGCGGCCGCAGCACAGACGCTCCTCGTGGCCCAGGCTTTCAGATCCAGTTCAGCAGCTGCTTTTAGTTTGAGAAATCTTCTTGGGCCTGATGTGCCAGTCTGAGGACTAGGTGTGGTGCGAAATGTCAGCAGCTAATTGCTTTAACCATTACTAATAGGTCCGCACTAATTACCCTCTTGCAACCAGGCAGGGTTTCACAGATGAGAGGACCAAAGAAGAGGGAGGAGTGGAGGGCTGAGCCCCAGGCCACAGGTGAGTGGCTGTCAGGATGGGCTGGGGGGGGGGAGGGGCAGGGCCTTCCCCATGGAGGGAGTAGGGGGAGAGGGGCAGGGCTGGGTAGATGGAGCTACTGTCTTGCTTCTCTCCTTGCTGTCTCCCAGAATGCAATCTACCGAAACCTCTTATTAAAAGTATTCTGGAGGTGATAAAAGTGTCACCAAAGATTTGCTCATTTTCTAAACTGTCATTTAAACAAAATTTATGATCAGGGAAATATAGGCAGGGGCGGAGGGAAGGTGGGCAGAGAGAGAAGGAAGATGATTTAAAATCAGTCCCTTAATAAATTAAAGACGTTGGCTTACAAGAGGGGACTTGGAGAGGGAAAGTGCTGGAAGGTCATCGCTTTCTCCATGCCAGCTGGCCGGGTTCTCACAGGCTGCCACACCCCTGCTGTCTCTCCATCCCCATTAGTACCACCAGCCATTCCCCTCCCGACCTATCCCTGCAGGCCTGCCCTGCACCTCACCCTCTTCCAGGAGCCCCTCCAATCCTCTCACCATGGCTCCATTGTCTGAACATGAACTAGAACCTGAACCTAATAGAAGGTCAGGTGGCTGTTTCTGCCCCACACTGGGCTGGAAGGTCTTTGAAGGCAGGAGTCCTGCCTCTAACTCTTACTTGAGTCTGAATCCTCAGGATGCCCCCAAGGGGTGGAGATGGGTGATCTAATTCTCTTATAAACAAAACATATCAACTAGGAAAAGGAACACAGACCTAGGGAGTTCGTGTCCTCAGTATATACGGAGCCGAAGGTAGGAGGGAGGTGGCAGGCACGGCGGGTCACACAGGAGAGCCACCGAATCCCCAGCTCTGGCTTCCAGCTCAGGGGCCCAGCAGGCTGCCCAGAGCTCGGACTCTGCTTAGAGTGCAACTGAGTCCAACTGTGGCCCCTCTGCACTCACTGCTGTCTGACCCGGAACAAGTGTCCCAGGCCCCGGTCTGAGTTGTGGGTGTCCACTTGACAATGTAAGTGCTTTGCTGTCAGTGTCATCACATGGCAGGAGGGAGGGCAGGGCTGGTCAAAGCTGTCAGCCTTCTGCCTTTTGTTTGGGGCCACATCTCCTGCTCTACAGTGACCATGTGCCAAACCCTGTGTTAGGATTGGGGGATATGAAGGCTGGTGCCCCAGCCCTCGAGATACTCCCGCTGGCAGAGACCCTGCTCTGAGTGTGGAGGCCACACTGCTGCAGTCCCTGGAAGTTACCTGACCAAGTGTCTTGCTTTGGCTGAGCAAGACCAGCCCCGAAGAAGGCCTCTGGGGAAAGAAAGAGGGTGTGCCTGGCAGGGGAGGGAACAGGGTGTGGGTGCTGAGCAGGTGCTGACCCACCGAGAAAGGGAAGTGAGAAGACAGGTCGGGGACAAGGGTGCAGCCTAGGGGAGGGGTTCTCAGGTCTGCCCCAGGCCAGCAGGTACAGTCACCAGTTCCTTTCCCGTCTCCCCAGCACAGGCACCTGGCTCTAGTCCTGAGTGGGGTTCAGGAAGAGGGGCTGGGGCGGGACAGCCTGTGGCAAGAGCGAGGTTCTAGGGCTGAGTGCGCACAGACAGCTCAAGGCTTGGCAAGCTGCCTGACTGGCCTCTGCTTTCCTCGGTCCTCGGGCACCCGGTGCCTCTGCTGCATGCTCTCCAAGCTGAGGACCCAGTGCCGGCATCCACGGGAGTGAATTTGGAAACATAGAAGCACAGTATGAACCAGCTGCACATCAGAGCCTGGTAGACTCTGCCTGTGCATGTGCTGTGAGGCCTGGGCGGGGCTGGGGAGAAGACAGGAGAGGACTTTACATCCAGATGGGAGGATGGAGACAGAGGGTGTATGTGCATGGCATTTGGTAGACAAATACTGCATCACTGAATGTGGCGCAGCATGGCAGGCAAAATAAGTCTGGAGAAGACTGTTATAAAAGAACAAACCAACAGCCCAGCCAGCGCGGCTCAGTGGTTGAGTGCCGACCTATGAACCAGGAGGTCACGGTTCCATTCCCGGCCGGGACGTGTGCCCAGGGTGTGAGCTGTGGGCTCCATCCACAGTGAGGGGAGAGGGGGCGTGCAGGAGGCAGCCGATCAATGATTCTCTCTCATCATTGATGTTTCTATCTCTCCCTCTCCCTTCCTCTCTGAAACCAATAAAAATATATTTAAACATAAATAAATAAATAAATAAATAAGCAAACAACAAGTGTTGGCGAGGATGTGGAGAAAGGCACCCTCGGTACTATTGGCGGGAAGGCAGACTGGTGCCGCCGCTGTGGACAACAGCATGAGGGGCCTCAAAAAATTAAAAATAGAATTATGATATGACCCAACAATCCCTCTTCCAGTATTTATTTAAAGAACATGGAAACAGTAATTTTAAAAGATACATGCACCTCTATGTTCATTGCATCATTACTTACAATAGCCAAGATACGGAAGCAACTTAGGTGCTCACTGGTAGATGAGTGGGTAAAGAAGAAGTGGTATAAATGCAGTGGAATATTATTCAGCAATGAAAAGGAATCAAATCTTGCCATTTGTGACAGCATGGGTAGATATAGAGGGTATTATGCTAAGTGAAATAGACAGAGAAAGACGAATACCATATGGTTTCACTTATATGTGAAATCTTAAGCAAAACAAAACAAAGCAAATAAACAACAACAAAGCAGAAACAGATTCATAGATCAGAGAACAAGCTGATGGTTACCAAAGGGGAGGAAGATGGAGGGATGAGTCAGGGGGAAAAGAAGTCCAGAAAATGCCCTAGGGGCCCATGGGCCTGGTGAGCTTCTCAGAGGAGAAGGAGCCTGCTTTGGGTTTGAAGGCACAGTGTACACAGCTGGAAGGGAGAAAGGCAGGCCCAGTTGGCAGGAGGGGCCTGGGAACATGGGGGTAGGTGGAGGCCATGGCCACTGCAGGCCTGTGTGGGCCCTGTGGGTGGGGAACCAGGACTCTGCAGGCCTCCCAGCCCAGGCTCTGAAGACCACATCTGTGGAAAAGGAGCAGCTGGCCTGGCAGGCTCCGCCTTCCATCTGAGAGCAGGCCAGCCTCCATGTGGAGGAAGAGGAGGGCAGGCCAAGGGTCCAGCTGCCAGGCTAGAAGCAGCAGCTCAAAGGGAAAGCTCTGCCCAGAGCCCCACGCCAACAGCTCCATCAGCCGTGCAGCCCCATTCCAGTCAGGCTTCCTCTCCACCTCTGTCCTCTTGACAGTCTCTTCATGCCTCGCTGCCTCACTTCTGTCTGTGGCTCTCTCTTTGTTTTGCTTTCTATTGTTTTCTCTCTCTCTCTCTCTCTCTCTCTCTCTCTCTCTCTCTCTCTCTCTCTCTCCTCTCCCTCCCTCCCTTCCTCCCTCCTTCCTTCCATCTCTCTGTTTCTGTCCTGATCTTTCTCTCTGTTTCTGTCTTGCTCTTTCTCTCTGTTTCTGTCTTGCTCTTTCTCTCTGTGTGTGCCTTGCTTCCTCTCCCATTTTCTCCATATCTACTCCTCTCTCACTGTCTCTTTCAGGCCCCCCTTCCCTGCTCAGTATGCCTGTCAATCTGTCTGTCCCACAGTTCTAGCTGACAGAGGAGTAGAGTCTCCACGTTGGCAGCCCTGCACTCAGCCTGTGGGAGCGGCTCCTTTACTTTGCTTCAACCTGGTGTGAACTGACTTTGACTTCCTTGCCCTCCTCTGCCTTTGATCTTTATCTTTCTTTGAAACCCTAGGTTGTTAGAAACCTTTTGATTTCAGATGTTCTCATCCTTCCAACGCACAGCTGAGGTGGGCCTGGACCAGGGGATACGGTGGGATTACCCCTGAAAATCACCTGGGCAATGACCCTTCAAGAATTAGGGTTGCAGCCAAAGCCTTCACCAGATAAGGGAGAGGCACCTCCTAGTCTTGTAATCCTGGCATGTAGAGGGGACAGGGTGCACAGGGGACAGGGAGCACAGGGGACAGGATGCACAGGGGACAGGGGACAGGGTGCATAGGGGACAGGGTGTACAGGGGACAGGGGAGACAGGGGACAGGGGTACAGGGTGCACGTGGGATACATGGGTACATGGGGGACAGGGTACAGGTTGACGGGGGACAGGGGGACAGGGGGGCAGGGTGCACAGGGGACAGGGTGCATAGGGGACATGGTGCATGGGGGATAGAGGGGACAGGATGCACAGGGGACAGGGTACACAGGGGACAGGGTGCATAGGGGGACAGGACACAGTGGGACCAGGGGGACAGGGTGCATAGGGGGACAGGAGAAAGTGGGACCAGGGGTACAGGGTGCATAGGGAACATGGTGCATGGGGGATAGAGGGGTCAGGATGCACAGGGGACAGGGTGCATAGGGGGACCAGAAGACAGTGGGACCAGGGGGACAGAGTGCATCAGGAGCAGGAGGACAGGGTGCCCAGGGGGACAGGGTGGTTCAGGAGCTCTACCCTGCTCTGCCAATGCTGCCTTCAGACAGGTCAGAATTCTGAGTTTCTGTTTTCTCTCCTGGGGTCTCATTTTCTCCTCTCTGGGGATAACACTGAGGATGACAATTTTATGCGATAATATGTATAAAATGCCCAGTGGATTACTGGTACATAGCAGTGCTCCAAAATGCTCAGCGTCCTCTACCTCCTCCCTCTTCCCACACTAGGATTTCATGTCAGGCCAGGCTCATGGGTGCCCCCACGGTGGCAGGGCCTCACTCACTGCCTGCTGAACAGATGAGTTAATGGGGTGTGGGGACAGTTTGACACCCAGCGCTTGTCCCCACACTCCTGCCCTGTGATGATGACCACAAGACTGTTCTCACAGGGTCCCAGGCTCCCAGCTCTCCAGGCCAGGGCAGGTCCAGCAGAATGGAAATGGCAAGTACCAACCAACAGTAGCAATAAAGCAATCACCCCTAGTGTGCCTTACAGTCTGCAAAGTCTTTCCCCAGAAACCCCTTTGTTTGCTTCTCACGACACCCCTCAGTGGTTCTCAACCTTCTGGCCCTTTAAATACAGTTCCTCATGTTGTGACCCAACCATAAAATTATTTTCTTTGCTACTTCATAACTGTAATGTTGCTACTGTTATGAATCGTAATGTAAATATCTGATATGCAGGATGGTCTTAGATGACCCCTGTGAAAGGGTCATTCCACCGCCAAAGGGGTCGCAACCCACAGGTTGAGAACCGCTGCCCTAAGTGGAAAGATCACAGACAAGAGGCCAAACCCACTACATGACCTATACGCTCAGAGCCAGGGCTGAGACAGCCCTGGTCTTCCCACTCCCAGAACTGCCACTGTGCGGACAACGGAGGCCCCAAGCACAGCCCTCAGAGACTGGGACTCAGCTGGCGGGGCTGGGGCCAGGGAACATGCGTGCCAGAAAGCTCGGGGGAATTCCTGTGTAAATGGGCCCCCAGTCTAAGAAACACCCTCCCCAACACTGCATGGGGGCAGAGGGCACAGGGGACAGGGGGCACAGGGGACAAGGGGCACAGGGGACAGGGGGCACAGGGGACAGAGGGCACAGGGGACAGGGGGCACAGGGGACAGGGGGCACAGGGGACAGGGGGCACAGGGGGAAGTTGTGAGTCTCACTCACCTCTCTTCCAAGTGGCAGGACAGGCTCGGTTCACAGTCCTCCTCACCCTGCCCCTTCCTGGGGCAATTTAGGGTCAAAGGTTTATTAGACAAGCTGGAGGGAGACCAGCCAGTCCTGGAAATGTGGGTGCTCTATCTGATGCTGGGTAATTCACTCTATGGGCTTCCTTGCTGGGTGAGGAAATGAATTGAGGGTCACTGGCTCCTACCCCTGGCTGTGCAATGGACTCACCTGGGGGCCTTTTGAAAACAGGGTGCCTGGGCGGGCCCTCAGAGACTTTGATGTGACTCATCTGGGGTGTGGTCCCACCTTGTGGGGTTTTAGAAGCTCCCCAGAGTATTCTAATGTGCAGCTGAGTCTGAGAACCGCTGAACCAAGCCATGGGGGTCAGTTCTATGATCTCAGAGCCCGTGACTAAGTGCAGAGCAGGTGTACCACGACAAGCATTGTCTGTGAGTGTGTGTGCGAGTCTGTGTGTCTATCTGTGAGTGTGAATCTGTGCTGGTGTGTGTCTGGTCCACTGTGTCTGTAAACTTGTGTCTGTATGTATGCCTATGTCTGTCTGTCTGTCTTGTGTATCTGTGTCAATGTGTGTGTCTCTGTACCCATGTGCTTGTGTATCATTGTGTATCTGTGCATATGTCTATGTGCCCATGTGTGTGTGTCTGTTAATGCATGTGTCTGTCTTTCCATGTTTACATCTGGGTCAATGTGTGTCTGTGTGTCTTGTGTGTGTGTCTAGGTCTGTGTGTGTCTACAGAGAAGGCCAAGCGGGCAGCTCGTGGTGCGATGGCAGACTGTGGAAGTGAGGGAGGGCCTGGGGATCCAGGTGACGGGCTCAAGCCTCCACAACGCCACATCACACCCAAGGCCTAAGGAAAGAGGCACGAAAAGGAAATGAGCTGGTTCGTGGCGCCAGGTCTTCTTGGCCAAAGCATACTTGTGCTTTGCTTCACCTGCTGCAGAATGCTGGGCTCGGCCCCGTTCAGCCTGTTTTGCTGGTGGGCCAGCTTCTCTGAGAGCCATGGGCTTTCTCAAGCTGCCCCATCAGGGAATGCACTTCCCGCTGCCCACCCAGGCAGGACTCCAGGCCAGTCAGGGCCGCTCCCCTCTTAGTATTCCATCATGGACAGGATTCCTGTGTAAGCAGAGGCCAAGCACAGCCCCCCTACCTCTTACCAGCTCTGTGATTCCGGGCACAGGTAAGTCCTGGCTTCCTCATCTGCAAATGGGCCTGCAAGACCTGCCAGCCTCCTACCTGGGTGGCTGTTGGCACAGACGGGGAATGCAGGTGAAGGTACTGGGCAAACAGCGTCCCCATCCAGGCGCGAGGCTGTTCCTGGATGAGGAATGCCAGCCGCTCTCTGCTCCCACATGTCTGCCCCACACCGCTGACACCTGCTGTTCCCACCATTAGGCCTGGCCATGTGAGGTGAGGATATTCAGAAGCTCTCTGAACGTCATGTTGTTGTGAATAAAAAGACTCTGTTTTGAGGTAATTTAAAGATTAAAATAATATATGTACAGGCAGAACAGCTGTTTTTATTATTTACATTTTGTTGAGGCCTTCCCACAGGCAGACTATATCTATTTCCCCGTGTCTCAGTACTCCCTCCCTGCTTGCTGTGCTATCTCCCTCCAGACTGGATGGAGTGCAGTAATGAGGGCATGGGGTTAGTGGTCAGAGACCTGGATTCTAAGTCTGCCCTTGCTCTTACAGCCTGAGGAACCTTGGACAAGTTCCCTCACCACTCAGAGCCTCACCAATAAAGCGAGGGTAGTGGATGGAAAAATAACCACTAAACTCATGAAGTTGCTGTGAGAATGACATAAATAATATGTCAACAATAGCTCCCATTTGTTCAGTGCTTACCAGTGTGCCAGGCATTGTTAAGGAATTCACAAGCATTATTTCAAGGGACTCACCTCTGCAACCTTATAATTATCCCTACTTCTATCAATGAGAAAACTAAGGCTCAGAGAGGCCCAGCAGCGTGGCCGAAGTTCACACAGCCTGCAAGTGGGAGAGCTTTCATTTAAACCCCAGCAGCCACTGCTTCACTGCTTTACTGAGCACAGAATCAAAGCCGAATGAAGCCTTAAAATATACCTGGTCAACCACCTGTTTACATCTAGGGAGTTACCCCTCCACCTTGACCTGTGTCATAACTTCCCAGATGAGTCCTTGTATCTGACAGGTCTTTACCAGCCACAAGGCATCCACAGAGCAAGTATTCCCTTCAGAGGAGGGTGGTGAGACCGAGAGAAGCCAAGTGACCTGCCCAAGGCCAATGGCAAGACTGAGGCCAAGCTGGGACTCCAGCCCCTCCTGCAGGCTCTTTGTTGCAAAGGCTGGTGCCCTGTGTTTTGGTGGGGCTGGGGGCCTTCAATGCTGGGTGAGGGATGGGTAGTGTCCCTGAAACTTCTCTGTCCAAAAGCATCCGTGCCAGGCCAGAGTGGCCCAGTTAGTTGAGCATCATCTTGTGCAATGAAGGGTTGCAAGTTCAGTTCCTGATCATGGCACATACTTGGGTTGTGGGTTTGATCCCCAGTCAGGGAGTGTATGGAAAGCAACTGATCAATGTTTCTCTCTCTCTCTCTCTGCCCCCCACCCCACTCTCTCTTTCCCTTCCTCTCTCTAAGCATGTCCTTGAATGGGAATTTTAAAAAATAACAAATAAAATAAATAAATAAAAGCATCCACATGTGTCCCTCAACACTTTGCGGTCTAGGTTCTGATGAGATGTGGGCAATGCAGCCTCCTCCTCTCCCTAGACGAGCCCAATGTGCACCCAGCTATGGCTGCATTCCTCTTCTCCCATCTCAGAGCCCATCACAGCCTGGATGGCTCGATGACACATGCTGCTGATTGTCTGCCCAGTATTCCTTCAGACTTGTGCTCAGACATTTACATGCCCAGCCTCAAGTGACAAACATGACTGGTCTAACTCATTCACGGTAATCCTTTCCATTGCCAGTGACTAAAGGACCCGCTTTCAACCAACAGGAGGGGAGGGATTCCACAGGGACCCTCAGAAAAAGAACTTCCCTCCCAAACAAATAGGCCTGTGAGAAAAGAGTTCTTTGGCTCCTCCTCTCTCACCTCCTCCTTCTTTCCTGCTCACAGTAGTCTTGGGTGAAGATATGATGCCTGGAACCATGGCAACTGTCTTGTGACCATGAGGCATCATCTATTGAGGATGGCGGAGCAGGACAGGGAGAACTGGACACTTGCTGACACAGTTGCATCATCCTTGGAACCACTGTTCTTGTCAAATAATATCACACATGTATGTATTGATTATTCCACTATCTCATATTTTGTTACTTGCAGCTAGGATCATCCCAACTGGCAAAAGCGATAATAGTAATAATAATAGACACTTTATGAAATAGACACTCTAATATCTGTTTTATATACAGATGCTCTTGATTTGCAATGGAGTTAAACCCCATTTTAAGTTGGGAGGGGGGTAAAAAGAGAGATAACTAAAATATAAAAAATAAATGAATAAAATGCATTTCATTCACCTAATCTATTGAACATCCTTAGCCTATAGTTAGGCAATTATCTTGAGTTTTATCTTTAGAGTAATTGCCTTCCTCTTCTTCTCATCAGAATCAGGACACAGATAGGTGTTTTGTAGGATGATGGGATGCAAAACCACAAAACACCATATCCCAAAACTCTGGCAACACCGTGTTCGCCTGGCTGACTGGGAGCTGCAGCTTTATGCCACGGCTCAGCATCACGAAGGAATGTCATACAGGAAATCACCCAGAGGATAGCTGAGGTTTAGAGAAAATGCTGAATTGTCCACTTTATCCCCTCCCCCAGCAAGTAGACTAAATGGGAATTGGGCGAGGTTGTCTGACCCCACACCTGTGCACCACACAGTCCTGCCCTCAGAGAGAGCTGGGATCCACTGAAGGGGCATCAGAGAAAAGGCAAGATCTGTCTTGAAATGCCCCCATGTCCAAGTATTCAGTGAGCACCATGTTGAAATGTGTCCTGTCCAACGGATGATGTGCTTTGGAGTTGAAAAAAGTAGAGATAATGGGATTAGGCCTGTGTAGGATGAAACCAGTTCTGCCCTTCAAAGGCTGCCTTTAATGACCCAGGATGGTCACCCTGGAAACAGTGAATAACATGAGAAAGAACATATCTTCTGCTCCCTTTGGTCTGGGCCCTTCGAGGTCAGTTCAAGTGTCTCTTCTTCCAGGAAGCCTGCTCTGACTGTCCCAAGCAGACCTGGGCCCCCACTGCATCTGTTCACCCACTTCTTATGGATGCATTTTTTAGTTAATCATGTGCATATGTACCGTTCCTCCCAAGTGAGTGTGAGTGCCTGGGGGCCGGACTGAGTCTTGCACACAGGTGCCCCCGCACCCAGCACAGTTCCGAGGCCAAGTGGGAGATGAGGAAAAGCTTGCTGGTTTTGACGTGACATCATTCGGCGCCAACCACACGCTCTGTAAAGACAGCTCCCCAGGTCAGTTTCATCCCCTTTGCCACACGCATTCAATGCTCAGAGTAAATCCTTGTCCACCAAAGGGATCTTTTTCCTCCAAAATTCGGGGTATAGGTTAGGGGGCACGCTGAGAAGCACAATGGTCATGTGAACCACAGGGGGAACCCAGGACATCAGTCATCAAGAAAGACAGCCTGGCGGAGTAGGGACTTGACCTGGCTGCAGGTCTGAGCTAGAAGGGGCGTGGGAGTGACGCCCTGAGGGGGCCCAGCATGAACAAAGGCATGATGGGCCCACCCACAGGCTGAGGCACAGTCAGAGCTGGCTTCAGAGAGCCAACCGGCACCACAGAAATGGCAGCATGCTTCCCCACTTGGTCCAGGTGACACCACCTTGACCCAGGCCTAAGGAATGTTCTAGCAGCTGGCCAGGCTCTTTCCCTCCCGCCTGACTCTTCCCTGGAACATAATGGCTGGGGTTTGCAGCAGGCTTCTGGGGCTGCCCTAAAGTGGCGTCTCCTCACGGGTATTGTTAGTCACATTTAATTTGGCAGCACTGAGCACTTTTGATTTCAAATGATTAGTTAGAGTTTGTGTGTGCACTGTTTTTCTTCCTCCCTCCCCCTGTCTCCCCCAAGGGGCCTGGGTGTTGTTTTGACTTTTATGTGTTACAGTAAAAACTTTCATTGTAGCAAAATGTTTGCTAGTCAAAATTAGCTTGGTTAATTCCAAAGAATTGTTTCATCTTGGCTCCACAGGCACCAGGATCTTTTTGACAAGATGAATTGGCCATGAGCCAGCTATCTCCGGGACAATTCCTCCGCAGCCCGCTTCCCCTGGAATTTACCTTCAAAGAAGAAAGGCCTGCCTTCACCTCCCATCGCCTCCGAAAGGCTTCCGCGCCAGGGCAGGCAGAGCCAGTGCGGCGGAGGTGTGGGTTCTGTGGGGGTGATTTTGGAAGAAAGCCCCACACAGGCAGACGCTCATGGGCACACCACACCCGTGCACACTGAGACATGCACTCATAGATGTTACACTGCCGGGCACACAACGACACAGACGAATGTTCAGACACACCAGGCACAGACCACAGACAAGCAGGCTGCCCCAGGGGCACACAGAAAGATAGAGACACAAAGGCAGGCCCACTCAGCCGGGACGAGTGGGGAACATGTGAGCTGCCCTCCTGCACACCGGCAGGGCTCCGCAGGCAGGCTGGCCACAGAGACGCCCTACAGTGAGGGAGGCGTAGGTGCTACCTCCATACACCGCCAGTTACTCTGGGGCCAGGGCTCAAGTGCCTTCCTTGCACTGGCGGAGCCCACCCCCATGTCCCAAGGAAGCCAGCACTCCTCAGCCCAGAGCCCAGGCCATGCCCCCTCCCCACCCGAGCTCTCCCACCCTGCCTCACTCTCCCCACACTGAGATCTGTTAGCCAAGGAGGTAGAGAAAGCCCGGTCAGCAGACCATCATTAGGTGGGGGTGTTTGCTGAAATTGTCGGGGAGGCCCATGAGGCAGTGAGAGTGGCTGGTGTGCAACCTTACCTAGAGATTGGGGGCCAGAAACGGGGCGGGAAGAGGTTCTAGAGGACACTCTGCTTTGGCTGGCCCTGGGCCGGAGCCTCAAGATGGCTTCAAACCGCCTGGGTTATTAAATGACACACTCCCCTCCCGCCCCTTCCAACAGCCCCTTCCCCCTCTCTCCTCTCTCTGCACGGAGTGGGTGGACAGCGGACTAGTTCTGGGGAAAGCCAAAGGGAGTATTATCTGAAGACCCCCTGTGTCAGGCCGTGCCTGGCATTTCAAATGCTTGAGCTCATTGACTTTCCAAACCATCATGTGAGGTCAGTATCTTTGTCCCCATTTTGCAGATACGAAAGATAGCGCACAGTGTGGGCCCCTGACCAGTTGCTGTCTCTCTCCTGCATCTGAGGAACAGACAATGAGGCTCAGAGAGGTTCAAAAACTTGCCTAAGGCCACCGGCTGATACTGAGGGAGCAGGATTTGACCTCAGGACCGGCTCCAAAGCCAGTTTGTGGGCAGGCATTTGGGAGCCGCTCTCCTGGAAGCGAGGTGGCATGGTCACGGCCTCAGACAGCAAGCGCTTGCCTCGTTGGTGGCAGGTTTGGGGGCAGAGCCCTGGGGCTGCAGGGTGGCCTGGGCTGAGAGCCTGACCTGGGAGCACTGTGGCGGGACAAGAGTGACAGGTGAGAGACACATTGAGTTGGTAAGTTGCCTGACCTGTGTCCGCACGGCTGAGACACAAGGGGGCTGATCTGAGGACAATGACAGCTGTACCTACAGACAGAATCCCTGGTGATGTTTCTCTGTCACTCCCCTGCCTGCCCACCCTCCCCACCCTCCTCACCCTGCCCACTGAATTGTCTGCTTAGAGAAACCGCATCACGTCATAAGGGGAAACTGACATCTGGGCCATTTATTCATTGTGTAAATTTCATCAGGTGCCCACCCTGTTCCAGGCCCTGGGGCTGCAGCAGAGCACCAGGCAGCACTCCTGCCCACCAGCTCGTGGGGAGACAGACAGCAATGGACATAGCAGTAACATCCAGGGGTGGGGAAGGTGACCAGAAGAAACACAACTCTCAGGGTTGATGGAGGAGGCAGGAGGGCGGGAAGGGACCAGGGTTGCAGAGACAGGAAGGCCACAAGCAGTGACTGAGCGGGTATCTGGGAAGGACAATTCCAGGCTGAGCAGACAAAGGCTGGGCACACCTGGTGGCTTTAGGAAGTCAGTGTGATGGAGCTGAGTGAGCAGGGAAGAGTGGGGGGAGCAAGCAGAGGCCAGGCCTTGTAGGGCTTCGTGGGACACGGTGAGGACTCTGTGCTGAATCTTCATCTGTGGGCACCAGGGCCCACTGGGCAGGGGGTTGACAGCCCCAGCAGAGCATCGCCCACTCTCCAACTGCTGGTGCTCTTCAGTAGAGGACTTCTGGTTCCCTGGCTTAGAGACTAAGCCCTCCTCCGTCCCCTTTAGAAAAAGGGCTTGCAGAAGCTGCTGAAAACTCCCTACACTGCTGTGTGCCAGCCAGGGCTGAGGATCTGGACAAGGGCCCTGCAGGCCCCAGCTGGGGAGAGGAGCCAGGGCAAGACCTGGGATGGAATCCTGTGGCTTCCTGGCCCAGCTGTGCAGCCTTGAGCAAGTTGCTGGCCCTCTCTGAGCCCCAGGTTCCTTTGCTGTCAAGAAGAGAGCTGTTCCACCCAGAGTCATGAGGCTCAAATGAGCACCAGGAACCAAGTGCATTGTAAAATGTAAGAATTCTGCACATCTAGAAGTTTTTACTTAAAATTGTTTCTCCCCTGTTGGGAGAAGGGGAAGGCTTCTCTGGGAGGGTACTGTGCCTCTGCCCTGCCCCACCTCCCTTCACCACGGTCTGGTCAGGTTTCCTTCAGGGCCTTCATCCTGAACAACTAAGACGCTTCACTAGACTTTGAGATCTAGCCCACTCATGCCCACTTTCTCAACAAGGTTTCTGCTCAAGTTCAAGTCGGAAGCCACAGCCCAAAGAGCGAACCAGCTGTGCTCTACAACTGACACCTAGGCCTGCCCCTGGCCAGGATTCAGAGACAGAGGGTCCACTGTGGCTGACAGGACCCGTGGGGCCTTCCTGCCTCCCCACAGCCCTCACCTCCGCCCCACACCCCCGCTTCGGTGATTCTCCTTCTCTGTTCATTAATGACTTTCTATAAAGACAAATGTTTGTTTTTCATTGATGTTGCTACTTCACCTCATTTTTAGATCCTAAGGATGCACATCTATGAGTAAATGAGTAGAATACGAGAAAATATAAAGGGAATAGCTGATCGAATAACTAATCTGGGTCATCAAGGAATTCTAAAACGTATTCCCTTCCAATAAGACAAAAAGCCTGCTGGTGAGTGAGCAAGGGCATGGGGACGGTCACACCCGGGGCTGCAGGCCTGGGACACAGAGCAGGCCTCTGCTTCCGAAGGACAGCTCTGGGGTGAGGCGGGGGCCTGCCGCACTCGGGGCCCACCTGATACCTGGGCACTGTGGGCGCCTCCTGCCTCCACCGGGCCCTGCCGAGCTCCCGCTGGTGCCTTCTCATTGCATCACAGCTCGACCAGCCTTTCCTGGGAGCGCTGGCCGCTGCTAATGGTGCCAGCCAGCACGGTGGCAGTCCGGTCCAGAGGCTGCGTCAGCCACCACCATGATGGCTCCGCTGTGTGTTCGGCTCAGGTCACCCCGAAGTCAGTGGCAGTGTTGGGAAGACGCCTAACAGGCTTGTTGCCCTATTTCACATTTGAGAAGTTAAGCCACCCAAGGGATAATAACTAACATTTACTGACTAGTTAGTAGGAGCCAGGAACTCTTCTAAGTACTTCCCACGTTTTACCTAACTTGGTCCTCACACTATTATGATCTGTTTTTACAAAGGAGTAAACTGAGGCACCGAGAAGCTCAGTGGTGATTGGCAAAGGAGCCGTTTGGACCTGGGCAGTGACTGCAGAGCCTGTGCTCATAACCACGCCACTGCCCACAGTGGGGAAAGCTCACAAACAAAGGGCTGGGCTCAGAGCCAGGGCTGTGTCACCTGTGCCCGAGCACGGCCGCGCCCTGCTCTGCCCTGTCTGTGGTGCCTTTCCCGGTGAGTCTAAGCAGAATCCCAGACCTCTGGCTCACCAGCTGCCCTCCTTTCTGGGCCCTCCTTCCTCCAAACAGGCTAGACTGAGCCCTTGTCCTCCAGGGCTCCCCCACGCGCCTTGCTCGCCTGCCCGCCAAGCCTCGTCAGATGCGAACCTCTGCTAGGCCCCTATGAGCCAAGTCTCTGGCCATCTACCCTTCATTTGGAGGAGCCTCTGCCCTTTTCATGGGTGCTCATGAGAGAGTGAGGCCTCTCTTTCTTGGGCTGGATTTGCACTCCACCCAGTTCTTCTCTTCTGAAGCTCTGGGCCACTTTCCCCAGGCCCATGTCCACTTCCCTTCACCCTCCAGTTTCTCCTCAAGGGTCACCGTCGTGGCCCTGGGCTCCCCGCCCCACTGAGTGAGGCTGTCAGTGGCACCAGCCTGTGGGGAGAGGCGGAGTGAGATGGCAGCCATCTCAGCTGTCCCCAGGCCTGGGCCTGCACCGCTGGGCCCAGGTTGGTCCGCCCAGAGCGGCACAGCAACTGAGCTGAGCACCGCGGCCCAGGGCGTCCGCAGGCCCAGGTGAGACGAGCTTCCCAGCGTCCTCCAGAGGCAGCACAAAGGAGGCTGGGCGAGCCGCACTCCCAGGACCACACTCAGATCCCTGGGACTACGGACTGCCTCTCTGAGCATCTCTTTTTAAGAGGAAAGGTTTCTAGCTGAGTGTCCTGTCTTACAAAAGGCAGCTCCACAGCATCATGGTCCCTGGGTGGGAGGGAGACACAGGGCTGATTCTGGATGAGGCACAGAAGAAGGACCGAGCTCAGGCCTGGGAGAAAAACCTCGCCAACAACGTGGGTGCCTGGGCCGGTTTGGGGTGGCCAGGCACCTTGGCACAGTAACAGTTCCTCGTCCTCACAAAGGCAGCATTTGGCTTTTTACAAGCATATTTTTACAGAAGCTTTTTTAAACCTCATGTCGCAGGGAGGCAGGTCTATTTAGATCCATTTCACAGATGAGGAAACTAAGGGCCAGAGAGACTGAGCCCTCCAATGTCCTCAGCATATTAGGGGCGGAGCCCGGGTAGAGCCAGTTTAGCCAAGCCCAGTGCTCTGACCCCTGCACTGCCATGGTCAGCAGCCCAACCTGTTAGGCCATTGCACCCCCAAGCGGGAAAAGCTTAGAGGGCTCAAAGAATTTAGGCCAGCAACCATTTGGCTAAGTCACAAGTGGTTACGATTCTCCAGGTCCAGTGAAAAGCCTTCATCCTCAGAGGAAAGTCTGGTGCCAAAAGGGGAGCTAAGTTTCCTGGGGGTGGGGACTAAGGGAGGACAGGTGGGCTTCCATGGAGCGACTCTCTCCCCAGCCCCGGAGAAAGCAGCAGAGCCCCAGAGGAAGGCCCAGGCTGGATGGAAGGGGTGCCTGTCGCACCCTGACTGGAGGGAGCTGTGCGCACCCCACTTGGAAGCGGCTGCAGAGCATCTTCGGGGTGACCACCAGTGGCTCCTCTGAGCTGCCTGCACGTTGTGCGAGGGGGTTAGTCTCTAGGAGCCCCACAGCCTGCAGTCCCTCCCCTTCGGCTCAGAGGGCTGCCAGGGTGGTCCAGATGAACAAGTCCAGCGGCGGGCAGTGTGCTGGCATGGGGGTGTTTGTGGGTGTGAGTCATGGGGAGAGTGCAGATGTCATGGGAGCCTTGAGGCGTGTCTCGGATCGGGACCTGCGTGTGTCTCGCTCACCCCCCAGTGCCTATCACACAGCACCATCGCCTAGCTGTGCGGCCCTGGGCAAGTTACCTACCTCTCTGTGCTTCAGATTAGTCTTCTGTAAAACAGCGCTGGTGCTGGGTTGTGGGAAGGATCTGAGGCGACAGTGAAAGGACCAGATATGCCACCTGTGCTGGCATCCCTTGTGCCCCCAGAGCATCTGAAAACACGAGGGCTGGCACCTGGGCTCTCCTGGCTTCCCAGCCTTCAGGAGGAGGGGCTTTTGATCCTGGAAACTGGAACCATCATCAAAGGAGATGGTTAAAGGAGCTGGAAAAACTGAAACCTGGGGAATGTTGTTTACTGAGAACACTTCACGAAAGTAATCATTGTTTTCTCTGAGAAGCAGTTCTCCAGAGGGCACTTGGAATGCCTTACCAAGGAGTGCTCCGAGAAGAACAACGGCCGTGACTTGCTGTGAGGGCTGCCTCAGACAAGGAGACTCACAAACCTCGCTCCACCCGGATCCGGAGAGGTGAGGGTGGGCCCATGGCCACGGACTGGGCCAGCTCCTTCCACAGAGCTCGGTGGAATGCCTGGGGTTTGAGGCGCTGGAGCATGATTTGTGAATGGGTCTTAGTATGCTGGTGTAAAGGACCAGTCTGTCAAAAAGAAAAGAAACAGCATAGTGCTTAGCATGCACAAGTCTCAATAGATGTCAACTACAATAATTACTTACATGTTATAAATATTACTTCTTTATAAGTATATAATAATGCTATCACGCTATAAAAAATGAATGTCACTACCTGGAAGAGTGGAAGAAGCAATCAGGTGTCATTGAAATTCATCATTTTGGACATCCTCAGAGGAAATTTGTCAAGGAGAGACTTGCCAAAGTTACGCAGAAAGTCAGGAATGGAGCTGGGATAATCTCCTAGCCTCTGGCTTCCAGGGCCCTGTCCATCAAACCCCAGCCCTTCCCTCACTGCCTGATAGAGCCTCAGCCCCTGAAGGGACTGGCAGCCCCCGCAGCCCCCGCCTGGCCTGTGCTATCTCTGGGCAGGGTGGCTCCTGTCAGTCACTTGGGAGGCCCACCCACTTCAGCCAGGAGATGATGAGAGCCAGGAGAGCGGAGCCACACTAGCTGCCCACCTACCCTGCTGGGAGGGACCCTGAGATGGCCAGGACCCACAGAGCACCCCTGGGAAGCCTCCCTGCACCCCTCCCTTACACACGGTCAGCAGCCTAGGGCCTCAGGTTCAGAAGGGGCAGCAGCCAGCAGGACATGTGGGTCGGGGGCTTGGGGCTGCTTTCTCGGAAGAGGCCTGTCCAGCACTCTCTCCCAGGGGAGCACCAGCACTTTGGAGTGAGAAGGAGCTTTAAAGCTCTGGAGCCAGTTTTGCTTTCTCTTGTGCACAGGGGGGCTGGGGACAGTGTGAGCGGCGGGGTTAGAATCCTTTCCTTTCATGTGCACACTTCGCAGGGGTGCACAGACTCAGACACCGGGTTTGAAACAGGGCAGCCCCCTACCAGCTGCTTGAGCTTGGCAGGGCTCTCAGCTCTCTGAGCCTCCGTTGCCTCCTCTGTCCAACAAGGCCATTGGGTGCTACCTCCTGGAGCTGCTGGTAAGGGAAGTGAGGCACAGCTGGTGACAATGCACTTGGCACCGACATCAGCCACAGGGATGGGGGAGGGAGGTGTGTGTGTGGCACAGCTGTAACTATTCGCCTGGTGAAAAGGTCTGAGAATATTCACCAAAATGTTTGTGGGCAGAGGCGGTTATCACTAAGGGGCAGAGTTTCAGCCCCTCCAATTTCATTTCTGCTTTCCTTTTTCTTTCCATGTTCCCAAAGTCATTGTTGTTTCAAAGTGATAAAGTGAAGAGAAAACCAGGGGCCGCTGGGGTGGGTGGCCGCAGAGGTGCCGGAGACCAGAGCCCAGGGCTTGGGGGCAGGGGGTGACATGCCGAGGGTGAGGACCCCCCTAAGCCTGGAGAGAGGTGACTGTGTCTTGCTAGCTCTGCTCTGCTTGCGCCTGGATCAGACAATGTGAACACACAATCATTCATTATAACTCAATTACGGTGATTAAAGCTGGTGGCACGCAGAGGCAGGAGGGAGTGTTGCCAACAAAATTTACACTCCATGTCATCAAGGAGCGATAACAGCAGCTGACGCTGACGCTGCCTCCCCTGCCATCTGCTCAGCGCGGGGCCCACTGAGGGGTCGGCTAATGGAAGGCCGCACAGCAGAGAGCCGCTGCGACAGGGCAGCCAGGCTGGGAACGCGAGAGCCGGGTGCTGGCTGGGGAGGTGCGCCTGTGCCCCTCTCTGCAGACATGGCTGCCCAGAAACCCAACATCTAGGAGGGAGGAGGGGAAAGCCACAGCACTACTGTTCTCAGGTTGTGCCAATGGA